AGAATGCTGGCAGATGTCTTATTTGGTTCAGAATTCTTGGCTCTATCAGGCCATATGGTTTGCAAAATTTTCGGACCAAAATCTAAGGACGTTGGTTGACGTCGACGGCAACCAAGACCGCGCTTAATGTTATTCATGTTATTAACATGAAATTTACCGCGATAAATGATATTTTTATTCACCCGTCATCGATTTTTCTACTATTTATCGAAAGGAAAAATTCACCGCGACAGCAAATTATAATATGATATAGTTATCGACAGGTATCGCGATAAAAGGGATTTCTGCGATGAAAAAGTTCTTTATCGCAATGAATTTTTCCTTTAGATAAATACTAGAAAAATAGGTGACGGGTGGATAAAAGTATCATTTATCTCGATAAATTTATCGAAAATGCCCTCATGCGTAGTAATATCCAAAAAAATGAGTGTTCGCACTTTCAGCTACAAATGAATCACCAGCATTTTTTGTAGAGTTTCGAAAGAGCTTTCCTTTGAAATATAATACAGACCGCAACCTAGGTTCTTTCGTGGTAGAAGCAACAGAAATACTATCATGGCCTATGCTGAAAAGATCGCTTTTTAACAGCAAAATCCAAAAACGTCGATGTTCATAGTATCGATTAGAAAGGAATTACATAGCATTTTCTAGAGTGAAAGAGCTTCCTTTTGATATATAATGTAGACCGCAACCTAGGTTCTCTCATGGTGAAAGAACAGAAATACTATCGTGGACAATGCTGAAAAGGTCATCTTTAACAGTAATATTGCAAAAAAACGTGGATGTTCGTAGTGTACGTAACAATTGAGCAATAGATAGCTTTGTTCGCCGTGTAAAGCTGCATCGAATGGTATATAAGACTTTCCTTCAAACTTGTTGTATTCTGAGAAAATTACGAAAAACGCCTCGAAATGGGCTCGCGGACCTATTGCTCAAAGCTGATCGATTTTCAGTTTTCAGCAGATCACGACTAGACATCTTTGTCATTTTTTGCAGTTTTTTTATATGACAAATTCTACTATTCAGATTTGTTGTGTTCGGCAGTAGTTTCTATTACAATTTATTTGAAGAAATCGTACTAGTGGTATTTTTTGGATTACTTTTGAGCAATGGTAGCTAGATATTTTCAATTTTCACATTTCATAGAATGAACTTAACTACAAATGTTTATGAGAAAATAAACTTTCCGCTATCATCTACAGTAGGTATGCATCGGTCGGTTAACTGATGTTTCGGTTAAACCAAAACCGAGTATGGGTTATAACCGAAAACATTTTATATTGTACTTTTTAATGCAATTGCTCTTGTTCCATTAATGAGTATTTCGTTTGAAAAAACAACAATAGCATGATGAAAGAAATACAAGGCATATGTCGCATGGTAACGGAAGGAAAAAGATAAATTCAGTATGAGTGTTTCTCTATCCTTTGATCATAGAAGGCAGAAAAAAAACAGGCCCGCTGAAAATTAGAGCTATTATTATTATAGCTCTATTTTCTCATCTGCGCGAAAAATCAGCAATTTTGTTTTCAGTTTATCCAAATTTTGAAAATTAGAACAATAACAAGCAGAACTAAGCATAACATAAAATGTTTTCAGTTTTTTCAAAAATCTAAAAAAAACGAAAAATATAGTAACAATAAAGCTTAGAGTTGGATCGATTCGGTTAATACTGTGTTGCTTTGCCTGCGTTTAAAAAATGGAATTGTAAGGAAACTCTTCGGTTGTGTTAGTTCACACTCTTCAAGCCATATATGTATTTCTCCGTCGTTGTTTTTTCCAACAGTATTAATGGTAAATGCAGCAAATGGAAGTATCAATACTTCTTTTTCATCAGATACCTCTGAAAGCTCAGCAATATAGAGTGCCGTACGATCATTTTTAATTTCATATGTACAAAAGATCGAGATTTGGTCTTCTTTCACCTCGTTCTGATAACTAAAAATTTTTGCCACGTTACGATCTCTTGATGTTGACAGAAAAGTAGTGTTGACAATGCGTCTGTGGGGTCTGTAATGCTCCATGCACGCTTTTTCCACGACCATGCCTCGATAGACTTCTCCACGGAAAGTGTATGGTGCAAATTTCGGATGATGTAAGAGAATCGAAGTAATAGTCATGACGCCATCTTGAGCTAAATAAAGACGAGTGCAGTAGAACTTCGAGCATCCTTGTCTTAAGTCATGAATGATGTTTCGTGCCATATCGCAGTTGACGTATTTGTAAAAGTTGACAGCAGGTGAAGTATAAGCACGCACTATCTCGAACGGATCCTCTTCTTCGATGGCTTTTCTGAAATATGCCTTGATACTGTCAATGTGATGCATGCCACGAAGTCTCGAATCGAGATAACCTTTGTTGATTGAGTAAATTTTGTTTTTCAAGTCACGATTAATATTATTTCGAGCAAATAGTGAATAGTTCAATTCTTGCCGAAAGCGAACTGCTTTCGCGACGGCATAATCATCAACAATTTCCCATTCGCACGGATCATTTTCACCACACAATGAACAGCCATCACCATTTTTATCGTTGTTTACCGGGGATACTGGAGCTGACAGGCTACCAGGTCTCGAACAGAAACGATCGAAACAATTTTCTCGTTTAAACAGACTTCGAACGTTATCATTTGGTGCTAAATCAAAAGGACATTTGTTCCACTTATTTCGAATTGATCTGAACGGATTTCGTTCTAGTAAGAGTTTGATGATTTCAATGTGACCATTGTTCGTAGCAATGTGAAGTGCAGTATTTCCTGTTTCAATTTCAATATGATTAATCTCATCGATGGATAGTTTTTTAACGTAATCACGAACTTTTTCCACCTCATTTTTTGAGCAGGCGTCATGCAGTTTATTCTGCATTTGTTTTCTCAATTACTGATCAACAGTCGTTAATAGTTTTGTTTTCTTTTTACCTAAATGAAAGAAACAGACTATGAGACCACCCTGCGTGTCGTCATATTGTTACTCAACCAATTTACACATGAATGCTCACTGTGCACAGTATTTTAAAAGACAGTAGTCTGTATACTCAAGGAACACCATCGTATGTGAAAAAATGAGGTTTTTTGAAACTCATTTTCCCAACGCACTCAGTTGATCGACTATCTTCACCTCGAATTCGACAATTTTTTTCAATATTTGTGTCCTTAGCACAGTAGGATGCTCTGTCCTGCATTCCCAAATACAATTTTCCTTTGTCTTGGCTTGATGATGAATAGTAGCCCATTCTATTACATTTATTATACTATTTCTTTTTAATGAGATGTCACTAATAAATTATCGGTGCCCACACTATTTTGAAATGGGCAGTAGTCAGAATTGAGAGTATCCGCCTCCTTTAAAGAAAATTTCATTTTGAGTTAAATAAGATGCATGATCAAGTGAATTGTTTCCTACATCATACAATCACAGCCAGTAATCTAGACCCTTTTATTGAGGATGAGTGTTGAGATGAGAGGTGTTCGTAAGAAACCACTATCATTTACACATTTCGTAAAATGTATATGTCATTTCCTTTCTTCCTACCTATACGATTGGTGTTTGACTATGGAATGAGACAAAATTAATAATGTTATTTGGTTTTCTTTCACTACATTGAAAGTTTTATTTCAGATTCTTTTGAAATATACCATGAAAAACGCAGGTAACGCACAGACATTTTTAAAAGTTCGAACGAATATATCTCGAGAACGATAAGAGAGAGAGACTTGAAATTTTTAGCAAATATGTAGGTAAACAAATTCTGTAATGCTTAAACTTTTCAGCCTCAACCGGCTATCTGTTTGGACTTTTTAAGTAAAATACTGATCGGTAATGCACAGCCAAAAAAGACCCTGCTCTCTCTATAGATGTGAAAGAAGTGATAAATCCTGCGAACTACTCGCTATGGGGATTTTTGGAATGACAGGCTCGGCCTTTTTGCTTCGAAAGATACGCCATGGTAGAGTTGTCGGGTAAAACTCATTTTAGCATAGGATTTTCTGAATTGTGAAGACCTTTTTTCTTCAAATTTTCTCGGTAACGCTTCTGTTTTTACGCCGCAGTGAGTTTCATCTGACGCAAATGTTTTACAAATCGCTGAATACCAGATAAATGTATTTTATGCTGAAATAATCTAGAATTAAAAAGCGTATAATTCCTGACAATGCTGTCTTAAAATTCCCTCATAAATTTTGTGTTTTTATCTTCTGCGTTTTATTCCAAATTAAGTAGTCAGCAACAAAAACTATGCAAGTGTATCTCGGACTTCAAGTTATAGCTGAAACAAAAAAACTTTATAATATCGAACGAACACTTCCCAAATAGGTTTTCGGCTATGCTGATTCACGTGGCAATGTTTGTTTTTACTTTGAAACGATTGTTGATCGCGATACAGCACTAATCACAGTTCCAACCGAGAATTTAGCCATAACATACCGACGGTGATTTCGGAGGCAGATGAAGTTTTTTTCTATTGTTTTTTATTTTCTACAGGTACTTCGTTGTTAATTTTCGCTATGTTATGAATAAATTCTCGATTCGAACTGTAATCAGTGCTGTATCACGATCAGCAATCGTTTCAAAGTAAAAACAAACATTGCCACGTGAATCAGCATAGCCGAAAACCTATTTGGGAAGTGTTCGTTCGATATTATAAGCGAAAAAACGTGAGTTAGGCTCATCCTCAGAGTATCGCTCCCTATCAGGAACGGGAGAACAGAAAAAAATGAGCTCTCTGGGGTTTTGTAGAGGAAGGTCTGCTGCTTCGAATCTATAAAAGAATGGGAAAAAATCTTTTGTTTTCGTTCTTTTCCAAGCTTGTCTTTCAAGATGTGAATAGCTTACCACCTGCATGTGGTAGACCTGGTCCGATTTTATTTCTCAAGATGTTCACTCTCGAACAGCGAAAACCGCATCTAACAAAGTCAAAGCAAGAGCAGTTATCATATTATCCTACATGCAGTAATAATAAATAAACATTACCGCGAACGACATTATCGCGAAGACTTGTTTATTGGAAAAGAAGAATAAATCACCCTGGTTTTGTATTTTGTGCATCATGTTTGGAAACCTGAATGAAGTTATGTAGTGAATAGTCATTATGTGATACAGTTACAGATATACAGTTTTGCATCATGACAATATGTTTTGTCAAAAATATTCAAATGTGTACTATGAAAAATTTGTGGAAGAGCTGACTATATATAAACCAATGCTGATAAATAAAGAGCTTCATCTTGCCGTGTAGCAAAGAGAAAAACGGTCAAACACGATAAGCAAAGAAACTGGATATCTGTGATTGTATCAGATAATGACTATTTACCACATAACTTCATTCAAGTTTGAAAACGTGATATGCAAAATACAAAACCAGCCTCATTTATTCTTCTTTTCCAATAAACAAGTCTTCTCGGAAATGTTTCACGGCAATGTCGAGTCGCGTGTTAAAGTGGTAAAAAAGAAAAAATTGTCTGTTTTCTTTTGTAATCAATAACTCGTGATGCTACACTTGACAACAAGCTGTTTGTGTTTGTGACTTCTTACTTACATGCACCTTTCAACCTTTCACGATTTTTTTAAAACCATTAACGCACAGACAGACAGAAAAGACAACAAATATATCACATGAATGAAAGTGAAAGTTTCGTTATTCATCCTCCTCTCTCCCAAGGACAGCTCTACTGTATATAGATAACGTTACAGAAAGGAAACTAATTTTCGTTTCACGTTATAGAAGAGAATAGAGAAGTATAACGTCATTCATCTCATCTCTGACTGAGAGTTGTCTGCGGCTTTTATTTTTGGTTTTTTGTTCTACCGCTACTTCTTATTTCGCGTAGCGCCCAGAGTTAATAAAGTGTCTTTATTTATCTCCTCAATATTAAATAAGAATAGTTGTACAACAAGATCACTGCCACTTAAGTACGGGAGAATTAAGGGATGTGTTCTTTTAAATAAACGTATCTAAGGAGGCAGTTTAATTTTCTATCAATATAAAGTATTTTTATATAAAAAACACGCTATGATATTTTAACAAGGCGCCCTCTCACACTGTGCATTGAGACCGGCATCAGACAAAATCGGAAAGTAACAGATTCAAACACACAGAAGTATTCCTCAGTAGTCGGTGGGCTATTCATTACTATAAAAATCTTTGTGTTAACTACTAAGTGTTGTGAGAAAACACGTAGGTATAAATTAGTTTCCGAAATAATTAAGTTTCGAACCAGTTTCGAACCTCTGAAATCGTTAATCACCACACAAGAGGGAAAAGGCGATTTTTTCTTTCTTCGCATCGGAGAGCATTCGATGCCAAGCATCTCAAGCTCCGGAAAGC